TGCTGCTATAGTTAGAAGAGGCGTTTACTGGATATAAGCACTCTGAAGGTGCAATTGTTGAGAAAAGAGGGGGGAAAAAGGTACTTTGTCTAATAGTCTCCAGATTCTTACAGAAAAGGGAGACCAATACTTCTTCCTTATTTGAAAAACAAACAAAACAAACAAAAAAGATCATCACAAATCTGGCAGATGTTAAATATGGTGAGAGATGTGCTGGCTGCTTACTGCAGCTCTTCAGATTCAGAAGCTGCACTGAATCCCATCACTGAAATTTTCTGTTTTCTGACAGCTGTTTTTGCCATTTACTTTAAAAGCAGATGGGGAAAATGCAAAGAAGAGCTGTCAATTTTATTACCATGTATAATCAGCATCTGTGCAATACATCAGACTCATTGCACAGTTTACACTTCCGTCTCTGTAGTAAAAATTGTTTTGGACTTTCTTGACAAGTTTCTTGCATGTTTTTTGTAGATGCTGAAATTAAGGTGTTGAAATTAAGAGTTGAGATCACTGAAAGCTAAAACTACTAACTTGAACAAATTTACTTAATTTACTTAAGAGTTTATGTCCTGATTACTTGATAATAAAATATATGGTTAATCTACTGCTCCATATTCAAATTCATGTTTTCTAAAGGCAGTGGTTTCATTATTACTAAATACTTTTTTTTAACATTTATTGCTAACCCATTGTCAACACTGCTTAATGCATTTGGATGCAGCATATCTCTGTGCAGCATAATTATTGTGCCTTCCCTTACTGAGCAGGCTTAAGATATTGTACCCATGTGTATAATATAAAATACAAATAATTTTGAAGGGAACTGGGTATCATTCATTCCTAGCCCATCTTCTTTCCAAGAGCAGAAGTCTTTCATAGAAATGACTTCTTATATGGGAAAATACGCTGGTTTGAAAGTGTCAGTATAAATAACAATGTTGTCTGTCTCCCTAAGTGCAGAAGTAGTTATCAATAATGGTGTCCTATGGACTCCTAGCAGAGGACAGCATCCTCTTGGAAACCATCAAAGGATTTATGTGTCAGAAGGCTCTGGGGACCAGGTGGAAAGATTCTGTCTACTTGCTGGGGACCTGATTTGATTTGATTTGATTTGATTGGGTTTGAACTGCAGAAGCACCTTTGCTTCTTAAAATACTACGTGGTTGTATATTACAGTACCTGCAGGGATAAGCCATGGGAAAGGCTTAGAAAAAGAAACATTCACAGTACTTTTCGTAAATAGGGGAGGTTAGGGAATAGCATTCAACAAAGGTTTCAACAGTTTCAGCTAGTTTGGCAGTGTTAAAAGACACTAAAACACTTACGTATTGATGTAGGATTTCTTTGAAGTGAAGCAATAAAAGGAGCAAGAGACTTAATACTAAGAGCATTAATTAGCATTTTGTGTGGCTATGGGCAGAGTAGAGTACTTCTTATACATGAGGCAATGCATGCTTTGATGAAGCATGTACTTAACTGTCTTCCTCCATTATCTTATCTTATTTAATATGCTACTAAAATTGACTGTGGCCTTTGAAAAAGAAACCACCAAGGTACTGTTTGTGGTACATAGATGATCATTTAGTAAAAAAAAAAAAAAGAAAAAAAAGAAAAAAAAAATGACTTCAGGAATTACTTTGAAAGGAGATATTATGCACAAAATTTAATACAAGTTCCATGGAAAAATACAGATATTAGCTTTTTGTTCTTGTCTAATAATGGTACTTCTGACCATGTCATTTCTGAGCACTTAATAGCTATTTTTTTCAGTAATAGATAACTACATCCCATTCTATTCCAGAATTAAAATTTTTTTACTTAATATGAGGAATTAAGGGGAGTTTTTAATTACTATGAGTTTTATCAGTAGAATGCAAATCTCCTTTAGATATTATTTTATCTGTGCTTTGTGACCCTAGAATATAGCTAATTAGATTTTCTTCTGGAGTGGTGGATGCAAATTTGCACTCTATGAAATTCAGCTGATTCTACAAAGATAAAGCAGATTAGAGGATAACAAAGCTTGAAAATGTGAATTTGATTTACTCTCTTTACAGACAAAGCAGGGTATAAAAGATTCTTCTGTATTTAGATAATCCTATTTTTTCTTTCTTATACTAATCTCATTTTCTAAAATGTGATGTCTTTTATTGCATACACTTTGGCATGAGTTAATAAAAGACGTACTTAGATGATCCTACTATAACAAATCCTTTATCCAGAAGAGCTTGTAAATTTATCCTGGTACTATGCAGTCTGTCTGTTAGACTGTTGCTTTTTCACTAAAGGGAAATCTTAGGTAAGGTTGACATGGAGTTCATTTTACATACACACCAGTGAATTGGTAGTTCCCTTAATTAGAACTACTAGAAAGCTGGCTTTCAGAAATGTACTGCAGTAGGACTGGTTTGGGACCCATATAATTTGTGGACCAATTGGACAGCTGTAGTCTGCTATTCCATCTTGTCATAACAAATGGCATTCATATATCCTGCAAGTTTACTTCAGTTTATAGAACTAATATATTGGTAAGTTAGAAGAGTAAATTGGAAAATACTTTTTGTAACCCTGGACTTTTATCTTTCTCAAGTTTCATGCCATATCATGTCTAGTTAAATAAGAGCATTTTATGTTTAAGGATAGGTGCAAGCGGACAGAAGTCCTCCAGCAGTAGCTCATAAGTCTCTTCATCATGAGCTAGTAAACAGCATTTATACATGAGGCCTGAGACAGACTGGTATGGGAACACTGCTACTGCAGTATGATTTTCCTATACAAAGGCATTCTTTTCTCTGTTATCTCTCTCATCACCAGTTCCAGTCATCCTCTGTAATATGACCAAATTCTCTCCCTTTTTACCGTCCCCTTTCCATCACCCAATGTGTAGGTTGCCTACCCTACACATTTCCCCATGCTGTGATTCTTTGGCAGCTTTTCCAGGCTGCACACCTGACAAATGTCTGCTGTGCATGCACCAGCATTTGTGCAGTCAGCGACTGCCAAATAGTGTGTGTAAGAGGAATGGATGGATAGCTGCCCTTCCCTTCATGGCTGGGTTACTTTGGTTTCTCAGCTCCCTCCCACTACTAATTTAAGGAAGGATTTATACATTTATTATCTGAAGCTTTTACCTCTCTTTGACCTAGCCCTGTGAGCAGAAAATGGTCTAGATGAAAGGCATGCATAAGCTGTGTTTTCTGAGGAAACTCAGCCAAAAAATGAAGCATAAGAATAGAAAACACTTGGCTTTGGCTGAGTTTGAGTTGACCTTTAACTCAAGCAATTTTTACTTATTCAGATGTTTGCTTTCTACATCTACTCAAGGGTACTGGGAAAGAGTGACCTTGTCCCTTTCCAGCCTCATCAGTACTGCTGGTCTGACGCAAAATGTGCTTCCTAGATCCAAAAGACTCAGCCAAGGCGAGGAAAGCATGTGAAAGAATATCCTGTTTATGGAAAAAGTTAACAGTCTCATACCGTGGGATTCCCTGTGGTGTTTAAAATGTACCTGAAAACTGTAGCAAGGTGGCAACATTTTCCTACTTAAGGACTTTATAAAATAATGACCTCTGTCTTAAACAGTGCTGATGAAGTGAGATTTTCTGTGTGTCAGGAAGGTTGTTTTTTTCTTTTTTTGAGGCTTTCTTTTTCTTGGCTTCTTTATATGCCAGTCAAGAACAAATGCTGCTAAGGAAAGGCATGAACAAATTTAAGAAATTTTGAGTATTACATATATGAATATCTCCATCTGAATGAAACCTCACACATCTCTATATTGGAGCAAAAGTGAGAAAGAGGAGTTAACGGAACTAGGATAAAAGGGGGGGGGGGGGGAGGTAGAATAGGGTAGTGTTCCTGCAACCAGTCTAATAAAGGCATTTTGTCCTTAAATTCTACATTGATTTCTGAATATTTTCAAATAGCGCGCTAAATTCTACACATTATGATTCATAGATTTTTGGTGCCATCGTTACAGGTGTGAAGTTGATATCTGTGTGTAAAAGAGGGAAATTTTACTAGAGAGATGTAATATATATGTTTATATAACATTGTACATTCTAGAATACATACTTTCATTCTTTCAGCTCTACACAATATAATTCATTTGTGCAGCCATAGTAATTAAATAGTGTCATGTGCAGATGTAGATTCTATTTTAAACGTGTTTATTGCTGAACCTATTTTGACTTGTTGGTAAATGAATAATGGGTCTGCAGATTTTCTATGGGCATAGATCTCTACATTTAAAAATTCTTGGAAGACAGCTTCTATCAGCCAGTTCGTATTTGCAGTATGGCAAGTTTGAGTCAGAGTTTTATTCATTTAAAGCAAATATATTCAGTAACATAAACTACAATTTTAGATGTGAAAAACTGTATAAAGAAATTAGAAGTATAGCTGTGTAATTCTAATATTATAACTTAAAATGTTTTATATTCTGTATCTAAAAAAATCACGTGTGTATGTTTAAAAATATGGCATTTGCCTTATTGCAGGCAGCAACATATGTTGTTTGTTCTGTAGGAACATTCCTCTCTGCTTTATTAAGGTTTACATGTTTGAACGATTAACTTACAGAAATCTTTAGAATTTTCTAAATAAACTTTCTATAAAATTGCTGTGTATGAATCATAAATTTGGAGAAAATTAATACTAACTCAAATTCGAATATTTTAATGACACTTCCAGCTTAAATTTTATAAATATACAACTGAAAATAAATTTTCTTTATATACAAGAAGAAGGTTGGTCTTTAAATCATAACATTACACTCTATAGGATGAAAGAACAGACAAGAACTGATTACCTTTTTTTAACGAATACTGAAATTAAATGACCTTGTATGTCAAGTTAAAAGTTTTAGTAGAAAGGAAAGCAAAACCAGACTACTTTTCTTATGTTGAAGTCAATCCCTTCTAGTTTGTTATAGCTTTAAGTTGTTTTTTGGCTTGGTTTTTTTATTTTATTTTTATTTTTATGCTCATGCTATTGTTTTGCAGACGGTTAGAACAAAATTCAATCAAAGTCATACCTCCTGGAGCTTTCTCACCCTATAAAAAGCTTCGAAGAATGTAAGTACCCAGTATTTTAGATTTAAATTACATATATACACACACACATATATATACACATATACTTATTGTACTTATATATATGTGTATATATAAATATGTAAATAAAAAGCAGTTCAGTGTCATACAGAGGAACTTCCATCAGCATGTGAGCATGTGAGGAAATTTGACTGCTGAAAGATTAACAGATATGGCAGTCTGGTTACAAAGACCATATATTCTCTTTGTCGGACTAATAATAATTGTTTTTACAAAGTGTTATTGAAATTATTTATTATGGTTTTGCATAAAAGCGTCATGTTAGTACAGTGAACATAAGAAAAAAAAATAATGAGGATATGCCACTCTTATTTTTGAATATCCTTGAGGTTCTGTCTGATCTGGCTACAGGACCATATATAATTCTGTACAAAAGGTACTTATTGTATTTTAGGAAAAATAATTCTGTTAGTCTTCATTTTTTTAACCATTTAAAAGATCTATTTTTAGCCATTCATTTTGTTTTAGTGGTTTTATTTTCAAATTCTTTGGCAGTGTCTCACACAAGTATTCTAATTTTTCTCATTCCACCCCTAATTCTAATTATTTTAGTCTTTGCTTTTTTGAAAATAGCTTAGATTAACTGTATCAACTTTCATTTATTTCAGTGACCTGAGCAATAACCAGATCTCTGAAGCGGCTCCAGATGCTTTCCAGGGCTTACGTTCTCTCAATTCACTGTAGGTATCTGACATGTAAACACAGAAGCTAATTTCTCATATTCCTATAGTAAAGTTATTCTGAATTTTTGGCTTTGCAGAATTTAGTATAGATTCAATCAACGCTGAAAGCTATAAAAGTAATTTCAGAATGTTAGAGCTATAATAGAATATTGCATCACAGCTGGACATTATAAAATGTAGGCTTTCTTATAAATATTCTCATGGTAAACAGTTAAAGGCATTGAAAGATTTCTTTTATTCCCCAGTTGGTTGGTCTTAAAAAGAGCAATTCACTCACTGAGTTTCCTTGGTAAGTCTATGCACAGTGCCATGCTGGTTCTTTTGAAAGTTTCTTGGGTGACACACCTGTTGGGAAAATACATGATCATGTCACCTCAGAGGAGCAAGTATCAAGTCACTGCTGTTAAGTTTCCTTCAGGAAAGTTGAAATATTATATTACTTTTACATTCAGAATCACACAGTATATGACTTTCATGATATCAGCTTTGTTTGCTTTTTTATTTTCTGATACAGTGTCCTCTATGGCAATAAAATTACAGAACTTCCAAAAGGCCTATTTGAAGGACTCTTTTCTCTGCAATTGCTGTGAGTATTTTTTAATATTTACTCTATGTTGGGGTTACCCAGAAGGGAAAAATTGATAAGAGATATGTGCCTAGAGAAAAACTGGAAGGAAATCCTCTGTGTAAGATCAGACTTTAATAAAAACAAATTATCTTAAAGCCAGAGGTGTCAAGACTGTTGTAGGTCAGCTTGCCATTCATCCACAAATGTGATCATATCTCAGTTAACGTCTCAGTCTGAAGTGAGTAAAATGAAACTGTTACCTTCTATAGAATTTATGATGATATCCATAATATACTATACTGTTCTGAGCTGGAAGTACTCAACAGTGTGCATAAAGTTGCATGGGAAACATAGTAGAAACATTTTGGTACTTTTATTTAGAGGTAGTATGTAGTGGATACACTCCACAGTTTTGTTTGTAGTTATACTCATGTAATAACAGAATTGCAGGCTTCCATTGATGGTTTTTATTATTTTCTAAGATTTTTTAATGTGCAATTCTTTGACTCCATGAACTCCAGCTGCTGTTTCTTTTAACAGTTCAGAAACTCCCATGTGTAATCTTATAAACCATTTCTGTTTGGTTTTAATATTGGGAGTACAGAGGAATGTCATGGTGATATGTTTATCAAATATTGTCAAGATCCAGCAGAAAAGGCTGTGCAGTAGTTGTACTATATGAGAGACAGTTGTGAAATAGGCCATGAAACAGTGGTAGTGCTTTTGGAAAATATTGTCCCAGAATCACTGCCTTGTCAAAATGGCTTCTTCCCACTAAACTGAAAGCATTTACTCTCTTGATTGCATAGTTAGTGATTGGCTAAATGTCTATTATTAAAATCTCTTTGAAAATGGCGAAGGAAATTCAAGTTTTAGCACAATCTAGGGTTCTATATTTTGATTTTAGTCACTAAGTAGTATTGTAATGGGATTTTGATATCCTTTAAAGAGAATTTATTTAAGAAAACTTATTTCAGATTTTGGAAGAAAAAAAAAAAAGAGAAATTTCTAAAATTATGTTTATTGTCTATTAAGAAAACATCCATAATTTGATATATTCTGCATAGACAATACTTTTCAATCTAAGTACATTTCTACTTCTGTGGTAAAATTGTTTATCAAAGCATTGGTTTTCAAATCCACCATTGCATCAATAGCAGAAAAAATACATATATTTCTTTAGAAAAATGCAACTAGTTGAATGACAAAATTATTTTAGTTTTGAAAGCATGAGGGAGTTGGTTTAGATTGTCTTGTTTATTTTAGCTTTAGAAGTCAGGGGAATACAGGGAAGAAAAGGTTCCCTTTGTAGAAGGAGAGGAAGAAGGTTCCAGACAGATTTGGATATGTTCCATGCCAACCAGTTTTTACTACAACTCTGTTAATGCGGCAGCATGCTGATTAGTAACATATAATTAAAAGTGCCACTGCACATCTCTTCCAGCTAATGAACACAGTGTTCAGTTCCTTTTTGTTTGTTTGTTTATTTGGCAAAAGAAACTAGTTTTCCTTGTAGATACTTGATTTTTTTAAGCTTGTTTCTTTGCACAGAAAAGCACCACATGCATAAGTTCTACCAACACACACAAGGAATGTGATTTTAGCTGACTAAACTCACCCAAGGGTGCAGATATTTTGACATAATTTCAGAGCACCTAAGTAAGGTTTTGCATTTTGCTGAAATGCCTTATATAACTATCAATTAGTATTTGTTCATAAATTGCTTGTAGTGATTTCAAAATGAATACAAAGTTTTACATGTGAAAAACATTGAAGTTGCAGTGACACTGAACAAATTATTTTGATTTTACGATTGTCTTTCATTAAACAGATTATTAAATGCCAACAAGATCAATTGCCTGCGAGTTGATGCTTTTCAAGATCTGCACAACTTGAATCTCCTATCTTTGTATGACAACAAACTTCAGACCATTGCAAAAGGCACCTTTTCACCTCTACGTGCAATTCAAACCTTGTACGTATGCATTTATTTATGATCATCTTTGGTATGACTTCTTATTCTACAGTGCACTAAAAATATCAGAAACTGCTGAGACTAAAGGGAAATAATGTGTGAAATTATCTTTTTTTCTTCATGAAAGGCATTTGGCTCAGAACCCATTTATCTGTGACTGCCATCTGAAGTGGCTGGCGGATTATCTTCATACAAACCCCATTGAGACCAGTGGTGCCCGCTGCACCAGCCCCCGCCGTCTGGCAAACAAAAGGATCGGCCAGATCAAAAGCAAGAAATTCCGCTGCTCAGGTAATTTTCTTAGTTCAGCTGCTGTTTTTCTTTTATTGGCAAAAACAGTGGTTACAGAAGTTCTAATGAAGGCAGCTGGCTCTCTACAGAATTATTAAATGTTGCAGAATCTTTTCTAGTTCTTCAGCTGAAGTCGTGGAAGTCATAGACGATTGGAACATTACTACAGTTAACATGCTTGGCACTCTTTCTGAGTAGCATTAAATCTAACAAAAGAAATGCAATATATAATACTTCAGAATGAAATGCTGAAGTTATTTGCTACAAGTATCACTGACATAAATCATTTTGTAGAATTTCCACAAGGCTCTGGAGTACATGAAAGATCTAAAAATTTCTAGCTAAATATGGAAATACAACATATTCCTTTTATACAAGGGAGCTTACCTCAGACTGAAATTTACTGTTTTCTTTTTCTAATCTTATTCCATTTCCTACTTACGTTTCTCTAAATCCTTAACTTTTGTCATATGGTATCCAGCTGTTCCAGGTGCATTTCACATTCTACAGTTTATTCAGTCTCAAGTGCAAATACCAGATGAGAACTGTTTGTTATCCATGTTTCGGATACAGTTATGACTATTCACACTTTGTTGTTTATCACCTCTTGTTGTGAATACACATTTTTTCACTAAGTTAACTTTAGTCCATACTTACTCTAATAAAACTCATTCTTTGCTTGCTGACATTCAGGTGCATCTTCTATTTTTTTTTTCTCTTTATTTAGCTAAAGAACAGTATTTCATTCCAGGTAGGTTTGGCTCTGCAGTAAGATTGACTAACTGCAGATACTCTCCCCTTTTCCCCAAAAAAGCAAAGTTTGTTATAGCTTTTAGGAGATTGATGCATGTCTATTAACAATAGTGAATTCCTGTAGCTAGACATAGTTTTCTTTGTAGATTACTAGTAGCTCTGTTTTCTGGATAAGAGCTTAGCATGCAGCTCCATTTACGTTTTTGTCTCACAAATTTGCACACAACCTACCAAAATACCTTTACTTATATTATGTAGAAGGCTGCACCTGCTAGCTGATATTTCAATTGATGCCTTTGTTTGTCATCTACCTTTCCTTTTCTGCTACTACTGTTTTTAAAATGTAGCTTCTGAGCTGCTTTTAAACACAGGAGAACCTACTTCTGTCAAAGAGCTAGTACAACTTAAAACAGACTTTACAAACGAATGTTTTCTTGCCTTGCTTTCATGCTTTACACTGTCTTCAGCTACTGCTTGCTCACCCTCCTCGTGTTTGCCAAATCACAATGGAATGCTTGGAAAAGAAAGCTGACATTCATTAAAGGCATTCTGTGGTCACACACATACCATGAATCAGAAATGCTTTCCCTTAAAGAAAACATGACTTTCGACTTGGGTTGAAACAGTAATTTACACACTGCTTTCAGCTGCAATGAGTCTATGATATTTTCCGGGAAGACCCACTGATGATGGCCCTAGCTCTTTGAAATATGTTTCTATATTTATTTTACCTTGTTTGTCAGGTGTGTGCACTGATTTCTTAATAGAAAAAAGCAATGATGCACTTGCATTATTTTCCTAACAGATTACAAATAATTGTTTGGCAAAATAAACAAAAAAAATAATGAATCTATTGATAAATTACAGTAAGTTATATGCAAGCAGGGTTTTCTGCCATAGCATAATATCCAGAAAAATACCCACAATAATTGATTATGACACCAGTGCACTTGTTCTTTCAAGTATTACAGATGTATTGTCATTCTGCAGTGTCTGAAATACTGATTTATTGATTGGTCTTTATCTTTTAAGCTGGTGTGCTAGCTTTTCTCCTAATGCTAGGTGATGTGTTACTTAAATTTGCAGCAACCACGTGAGTTCTTCATGCCGTCATACTAATATGTTGGTTAGAATATTAAGAAAAGAAAACTTAAGTACAAAATAAGGGAGTCATTTATCAGCATCGGCAGCGACAAAAATGTGTTTTAAAGCAGCATAAAACAGAGAGGGATTCAGTTTCTCAAACCTGTAGTTACCACTCCATTTCTTAATGAGTAGAACAGCTGCATTCCTGCCACAGAATGACTTCTACTCAACTTTGCCAGCACAACTTTTGTCTCTGAGTTAGAAGTGTGTTCTTGCCAGCAAATGTCTTCACAGCTTGTTTATACTATGGCCACACATGCAGCTTAGGTTTGTTTATGTACCCTTTAAAAATGCTTTTCCTGCAAAAAAGAAGAGAAAGAACAAAATCAGTCAAAAAGTGCTACAGATGTTCTTCTTGAAATACTGCTTGCGTGCTTTCTCTTTCCATCAGGTTATCAGGGAGATGCTGCATGAAATTCTTCTAATTGTTGAAGATCTTGTCCCTGAACATTTTAGTTTTTTTTACTTTGAACTACTAACAGTGATTTATTCTGGAAACAGGAGGAAAAACTGTATTTGTAACTTTGCTCTTGAGTATTAAAAAGTGCTCAAAATACTTATTTATGCTTCATTAAGTATTGTAAAAATCTTTAAATTTCTTTAAAAGTCAAATATAATTTCTAAATTTGTTTTAAAATGTCATTGGGAGATCTTATTCTGCAGGTAATAATTCTTAATAGAATTTCAATATATTAATCTGGAAAACTAAAGGCTAAATAAGTATTAAATCAGGAATTTGAAAAGAAGTAGTTTGTCTACTCATAGAAATATTCCAAGCAGCTAAATCATGTGTTACTTAGACATTTGCAAATGCTAGATGGAATAATAAATGACGACTGATTTTTTTCCTCTCATGAGGTATCTGTTTCTCCCATGTTTCTTTGGTTTATTAAGTATTTTAAGTGGCATAGCATGTATATGTGTTCAAAGGAGCATAACAGCTTCTAATGAACACATTTAAAATAATGAAGAACAATGCATGGGAGATACTGTATTTCTACATGAAATTTCTAATTAACCTCAATCTTTCTTCATTTTTTTAATGCCACTTAAAATGAATTATTCCTTCTCCCTGCTGAAGGTGGTACTCCTTAGCAACATCCTCTAATCGAACTAAATTTGGGTTGGAAACATATAAACTTAGTTCATGTTTTTGTCTTAATTGGGATTACTCTGTCTTTCTTTCCTTCTTGGCTATCTTTACTTTTACAGGAGTTCACCATTTTGGCTGTAAGTAAAGTTCAGTGTCTGAGCTAAATCACAATGTACCTCCCAGCCCTGACGCACCTTCTACTAGTCTCAGTCTTTTCACCTTTGTCCGAGAAGAACCACAGGTCCTTTCAGCTTCTTTTTGTTTTGTCACCTACCCTCAATTTCTTACTGGATGTTTTCTCCTGATATGTTTAGGATGTTTTCTTTGACTGACTCTGGGAAATGGTGGAGGAAACTTTCTATGTGGTTCCCCCTTTTTTTTTTTTTTTTTTTTTTTTGTGAATCATTTAATCTGTGACAGTAATACTGTTACGGTGGCACTGGACATTCAGTAAAAAGAATGCCATGTCATGTAAGCAAGTATTAAACTTCAAATGCTTCTATAACTTATACCTGCTCCTTCCTCTTTTCCCTCGCTGTTACCCTTGGCCTAATGGATGCAGTTTTGATAATGTAGCGAGATTTTCTGTTGTGCTTGATCTAACCATGTGGTTGTGAGGTATGAGTAAAACATGGTTCTGTCAAGCACCATGGAACGTCACGCAGCTTTCTACAGCATGGCATGCTGCTGAGGCTTAAGTCAGGATCACACATTTTCTTAAAATTAAAGCTGAAGATAGGGCTTTCAATCTTACGTGTTCAAGATGATGAGGAGGGTTGGGACTGCAAAAAAAAATAATCACAGAGGTTAATGAAGTCCTGTCAACAATACAAATCTGTAGCTCGAGAAAGAGAAATGGTGGCATTCATCTATTTATTCTTGCTACAGAGAAATAAAATAAATTCTAAAAGAATCAGTGGCATTTGTGTGATTAGCTATAAACAATGCTAGATTGGCTGACAACACAATCAGCAGAAAGTACAGCTGTGAAAAGCTCAAGTTAATGTTATCCTGTTATGTGAAGTTGGTCACAGTTTCTTTTTCCAGCATATCTAAGCCCTTATATTTAACCCTCTCTTGAAGCCCCTGTGTCTGTTCAGTATCACAAAATTTATCATACATTTCCCAAGTTGCCCACCCATTACCTGCATTGCAGATATCTTTTCAACCTTCTTGCAAGAAATAAATCTTATTCTGTATTGACTCAATATCTGTATTTTGACTTGACTCTTTCACAGGCACTGAAGATTACAGATCCAAATTAAGTGGAGACTGCTTTGCAGATTTGGCTTGCCCTGAGAAATGTCGCTGTGAAGGGACCACAGTGGACTGCTCCAATCAGAAACTCAACAAAATACCTGATCACATCCCACAGTACACAGCAGAGTTGTAAGTTGAACCCACAAAGCATTATGTGCTTATGAAAAAACTACCTAAAACTTTCAAATACAAAACCACAGCTTTTATTTTTGAATAGCAAAAATTATATGTAATCTCTGTGATGCACTGTATGTTAATAAAAACTATTTATGCATCATGTTAGTACCATTAAGCCTTAAACACGATTAAAAAAAAAAAAGGCAAATATTCTACACTGCCAGTTCTCCAGTACATGAACTACCCATGTGGGTTTTTTGGAAAGACAGTGGGATTTATTTTGCCTTCTGTTTTGAGTACAAGATCAAGTAGGATATCCAGTATCTAAAGGTCTGTCTTAAAAGCACTACCTAAGTGTTAAATAAAACAGAGCTGACTGTTGTTACGCAAAGCTCACATTATGTGTCAGGCAGAAGACCAGAGGAAGATAAAGTAGACAAGACAGAGTTGGATTAAGATGAGATAATAATGTAATGATCTGAGATGAGCAGAAAAGATGTCACAGATTATTACTTGCTTAATAAGTGCCATATGGGAAAGATCTGTAGACATTACAGCTGAAGTAGTATTCAAGAGGGGATTGAAAGATAAAATTAAGACAGCTTTACAAGTTTTTCCCATGCGTAAAACACAGTATAGAAGAAAATGCAGAGATGCTTGAAGAACCAACAGAAAAGCATGAGGTGAAAGTGACCACCACTGGCAGAGCCAAGAAAGGAGGAAATAGCTGTTTTTCTTGGGAGACAGTATAAAGAGCAAAGCAGAGCAATAAGGTGCAAAAGACAGACTTTAATTTAACATAGTGAAGTGGGAACAGAGATATGGAGACGTAAGTGATGTGATCAAGTTGTTAACTACAGGGGTGAGATGAGCAAAAATGTGGCAGGTATCTTAAAAGACAGTCTTTGACTGGGAGCAAAGCAATAGTACAGCATTGAATAATGAGACTGCAGTTAGAGATATTGAATGTCTGAATGGGAAAAAAGAATTTGAGGTGTTGTGTAAATAGAGATGGAGATTTTTGTATGAACTGGGAGAAAGAGTTCAACTCAGTGATGTTATAATTACAAATCTAAGTGGCAATACTGGTTGTTACCAGTATGGAGCAAATTGAAAATAAAAAGTAGCATATGTCATAAAATCAGAGTTCAGGTTTTGGCCACGTTTAAGCTGTTGTTTGTACAGTAAAGCCCGAAAGAATGTCATACAATGTTATGCTATAATATTTTGAGATAAAAATAATTCCATTGAAGAATAATGGTTGGCAGGTTAGATTATAAGAGGAGTACATGTAGTAATTGATGTAAAAATTATAGTTACTGAGCCGAAATGAGAGTTGGATTTGCTGAAACGACAAGAATGCATTTTCCTGATTCTTAACAGAATTTATGTTTAATTCTCTCTCCTCTGAAGAAGTTATACTCTTCATTTAGTATTTCAATCATTGATTTTCCTACTCAATTTTTTACATGTGACATATAAACTCTAGAGTGCTTTCTTTCTATAATTACAATTTATACATATTAAATTCAGAAAAAACAATCAAGCTTCATCTGCTGTGTGTCTTAAGCTCTCAAACTGCAGTCAACAAAAAAAATCCATTTCACTAGAAGATAATTCATTTTTAGTTGCTGAACTTCTTTCAGAAAAGCATTCAATCTCATTTGAAGGTATCAGTGGATTAAAAATGAACCATCCTCCTAAGAATGTTACAGAAGTTAATCATTCCCATTAATCTCTGTTAAAATCTTTTAAAATGAGAACATTACTTTCAGATAGAATCTGTCTTCAATTTTCATCATCTCTTCTTTTAATATTTTTTTCTGATAAAGAGCTCTTTTCTATCTATTCTTTATCCAATACTTACCAGTCTTAAACTTTAACAGTCACTACTCAACTTTTTTCTTGATAAACTGTAAAGATTATGCTTCAACTCTTGCAATGCAAGAGAATTTTTAACAACCTTAAAGTATTTTAGAGGCATGGTGAAAGTATTTCTGCACTTCTAAAAATCCAACTGCCATAGTCTCTGGTATTTGCCTTGCTGATGCTTATAGCTTTTCCTTCTTTCCTCCTGTCATCTCCTGTTTTTGAATGCATAGGAACAAAGATTGCTCCGCTTGGGACTTCAGTCTAGTTCTAGGGTCACTGTGATTTCCTGATCACTTAGTGACATGTATGAAAAGAACAGCTAGTTAGCCTTTCTTTGTTTTAACCACCAAATATGTGCTAAAGGTACTTAGAGCTAAATGACATTAATGCTTTTCTAACAGTGAATAAAAAGGCTAGATTATTCTCTCCGGGGTATTCCTTACAGCTGAGACATTTGGAACTTGGAAACAAAGATCAAAAGTGAAGAAATGTTGAGACTTCTTTAGATTTCTCTTTTAAATATTTATTTTTCTCAAATAATTCATCTGGAGATCTCTGAAGTCCAGACTTCTTTGCATCCCTTAGCCCAGAAGGCTGTGAAAGTAACAAGAAAACTGTTACCTTCAAGAGAACTTTTATCATGTGGTTTTCTCTCTGTAGGTAGAATAAGGAACAAAATAATTATTTCCTTATTCTGACAGAAAAATGCATCTTCGTTCACAATATTATAATGTGCAACATTAAATTTAATGGACTAAAGATGCTGAACTACTTTTATCTCCATCATTCTAGAGCTAATGAAATGAAAGATCTAGTGATAAATATTGCTCTAATCTAGGGTTCAAGAAAATATGTAATGTTTCCTTTAAATCTGTTTTTAAAATGATATCCTGAAAATAATTTCTTCTTTCTCTACTAACATCAACTGGTAACTTTGGTGTTTCAGCTCAACAAACTGCAGGGATGACAGCAAAGTGTTCTGTAAAGGAGTTTGAAGGCATTTTTTCTAATCACGGGTTCTCCTACCTGCTTATTTGCTTATCTGAGATGGCTTGGGTATTGATTGTGCAGATTACAACAGTAAAACATGTCACAACAAAAAACTCTATCTTAGAGTAGTTTATTGTTTGTATATATATATATATATATATATACGTATATATATATATATCTGAAAATAATAAGAAAGTTCAAGACAGATACTTAATTATAAAAGGTGAAAAAATGCTTAAATGAGTCAAGTGCAATCTGTTTCTAGTTTGTTGTTTGCTTGTAATCTTTCAGAAAACCAGTCAAAGACCTATCTAATCTGCCACTGAAGTATTTGAGATAAAATACTAGTCTGTAAAATAATCCTGGACATCAGATATTTTTCAAGTAGCATACCAATATACAAGAAAACTCAGGAAACATTTGATAAATCGTTCAAACCGGAGTTTAGAGGAGAAAGTCTAAACAAAATGAATTTTAGTACAGTTTGTTCCATTTTTTTAAATGTCTGTACAATATATGATAACATATCAAATCCTAGCAAGATAAGCTTTGAAACATAAAGCACAACATAATTTCACTGCAGTTCATAGTCTTCCAAAAGGACTCAGCTCTTGTACCAGAATATGCATTAACAGAACAAGAGATCACATCAAATAAAACTGAAAGCTAAACAATTAGACATAATCATCAAATGCTTTTTTGTTTGCATTTTATGTTTTGAGAATGACATTTTAGTGATTCTCTATAAATAAACCAGAATCAAGTATTTCTAAGATCTTCTTCATGAAGCAGCAGGTAAGAACTATCATTATTATCTGTATAACTGAAGTACACTGGGCTCCAGAACAGAGATGGCATTGCATATGGTAATTTTCTAAACATTTGTAATAAATTTTATTTCTGTGTATGTGGTATCACTTACCTAATAGTAGAACAAAAACTTCTTGCACAGGTATTTAATAATTCTAAATCTAAAGCCAGCAATGTCCAACCACTGAAATGCTATGTGGTCATTCTTCCAGCCACAAAACCATAGTTCATAACTCTTGATGTCCCTTTTTTGTGGATCTATCCTCAATGATAATGCATGTTTTGTGATGTCATCATATCCATAAAGTCAGAGAGAAGATATTATTTATGTTATAGTTTAAGCAGAGACAATACTGTTCAACCTGTGTTTCTTTTCCATCACAGAAAACTATAGAGAAACTTCTTAAACACTTAGAATCTTCATAGCATGTAGAGAGTTCTGAAAATTTGCTCTGTTACATCAAAAGCACTCTAAGACTATTTAAAATAAAGCAAATGAAATAAATTACAATAAGTAGAACTAGTTAGCAATACAAATACAAGATTGAGGAATATGTAGGTAGTAGCTGATGAGAGAAGGCTATGGTGGTGTTACGCACAGTAAAGATGAATGAGTCCTACTGGGCAAAATTTCATTTTGGGATGTATGTACAGGTGTGTGGTAAGTTATATGAAATAACTGGTTTCCAGTATATAACAATAACAAAATACTAGCTGGAATTCTGCATTCTGAATTTCAGCTTCCAAGATGAATATGGATCACCTGGAAAAAAGTTTGAGGAGAAAAACAATCATCAGGATGATACATGAGGGAAAACTGAAAGTATTGAATGCATTTGTGTAAAGGAAAGTTAGGGGACAAACATACTGAATTACTTTTAAAATATAAAGGTTTGCTATATGTAGATAAAAATTTCATTTTTAGTGGAATTATAATTTTTTTGCAATACAGCAAAGATTCCTTAGAATTAATAGAAGTCTTCACAAACAAATAATTCTACTAGATGATACAGCACTTAAAATATGTGAAAATGCCAGCTTTTATTGAGTGTTTGGTATTTCCGCTGATGAAACACAGGGGGAAAAAAAGACTATTTACAATGATGATGAAACTTTGTTAAATCACATTAATTCTTCCAGCTGACTTTTAGAGGTGGTAACTTTTTTAAAATTGAAGTCCTTTATACTTAGTACAGTATACAAATGTCCAACAATTGTACTGCCATACCTTCAGATTTACAGCCTTAATTTTCCTTCTAGCTATCACTGAGTGTTAGCAGGAAGGAAGGATGAACAAGCAGCTTTGTATTAATTTTGAAGGATTTTTTGTTTTGTTTTTTCTTGCAATAAGGTAATTCAGAAAAGCATTCTCATTTTGGAATTATTCTGAATTCAATTTTGCAGTGATTTTTCACCTCTTCATTCATCTCTTTTCCTTCCTGTTTAAGATTTTTAAATAAAAGCTAGATAGATGTGCTTCCTTAATAAGATTATTCCATTAAAACATATACAGTGTCTAAGACTTATAATTTCCATTTTCTGTTCAGGAGATGAAATAAGAGACATTGGGTCAGGGCACACATTTTTTTAAATAGATGTTCCCTAACCAGCAGCTGCTAAATGTACACTGTGCACTTGATACCTGGGAGGAAAGATAAAAATCCATGTGACTTTTCAGGCTAGTATCTGCTACTTACTACACTTTTGTAGTGTTACAAAACAACAATTAATACTCGCTTGCACAATGTGTGTTTAATGTTTAGTGGTCTGAAGATGAACCATGGCCAAAGAAATGTTTTTAAATTCTCCTGAATGCCTACACATTGTGCTTCAGTCTCTATTTCATAAAAGCATTGAGAATAAAGTTAATTATTTCATTTTCAGTAAATAGTGTTCTGTGAGCACCTCCAGATGTCTGGCAAACTCCACCTGATATCCCTTAAAGAACAATAAACTAATCTTCAGTCGTTTAAATGTACTTCTTAAAGATTCTTATTTATAAGTTGCCATGGAAGTCTTCCCTAGCTACATTTGTGTTTTTCTTCTCAACTTAAAACATCTTATATTTTTCTGCAGTGTTAGCTGTATGCTACTTTGTAATCTGTTTTTTATTCTGTATGTCTGATGTATGTCTAATTTTAACTAATGAGAATGTTCATTCATAGGAATTGCCAGAATTAGAAATGTCAGTATATGTTGAATTGTTCTTCAGATACCAATATTAAACCAGTTTAAACCAGAATTAAAGTATTCAGTTCAACCATTCCGAAAAGCTCCCTTAGTGTGGAACAGTCTTTACCAATGCTTGAATATTTTTTTCTGAAATTGATGTCATTTCTTGCAGGCGACTCAATAACAATGAATTTTCAGTCCTGGAAGCTACTGGAATCTTTAAGAAGCTTCCTCAACTGCGAAAAATGTAAGTACCACTTCAGTGATCTTGTCTATTTCAATATCACATTAGTATTAGTGTCGTCCTTTTCCACCTTTGATAGTTTATGTCTATTAAAGTTTCAATATATTCTAATGAAAAAAATCAAGAATGGATTTATATCAGTCGTTGAGGTAGATCAAAGCTAGCAGTCCATCTCTTTGGGACTAAGCAACGCAGTAACAGCCTCTGCTGGTGCATAGCTCCAGCAATTCTGCTATGTGGTCCTGCCAGCTGCTCTGTTATGCAGCCACAGCAGGGAACTTGAGCATAAGCTGCTCAAAAATGGTTCCAGTAACCTTTTGTAACTTCCTGCACTACTGCTCCCTAACCAGGCAGTTTTGCCTCTTTCAGCACATTCAAGACATGCCTTTGATTCTGTGCTTCATTAAACTATCATTAGATGAGGGGAATATCAAAATTAAATGACTGAGAAAAAAAAAGAGAGAGAAGGTTTGATAGTCCATTTTCACAGTTGACATTCTAAGAGTTGTTTGTAATCATACCAATTGTAGGTGTTAATAAACCTATGAAAAGCTTTTCTTTCACTTTAGGCATGTGGCAGGCATTCAAGAGCAGATCGTTTAGTTACTTAGTGGCTCTGTGCTCAATATTTTCAGGATTTAATCCAGGCATAAATGCTAAGTGGAGAAAAATGCAAGTCAAAATTAATGAAAATGATGCACTGCTTTGTTAAATGCAGTCACCAAGTTACTACCACTTGCAAAAATTTGGCTAGTGCTACCAGTGACTAAAAACTCAAGGTGAGCAATAGTATTGTATAAACTACTTATTAGCCTGGCCCAGATATGAGCTGGCAGCTGTTGTGATCATAACTGGTTAAATACTTACTGCTGATTTTTGAGACTTAATTATTTTTTTTTTCTTTTGACCTATCCACTTAAGTATGCCTTGCTAATTCAGATCTGGGTTGAGGTACTTAAGAATACAGGAATGACTGACACAGCAGTATACTGGGGCTACAGAGTAGATATCCAGTTTTCTTCATTCCTCAAGGATCACAGATTAGCATTTTTCACAGCTGTAAAATAGTTAAAGTAGCATACAAATACACACACATCAATTCTTCATATTTAAGAAAAATGAAAACTAGGGAGTGGACTGTCAGTAATTAGATCTTTTCAGGCTATCAAGCTAGATTAGTCAACATCTCATGCTACCTAAACCTCGTTTGCTACTATTTAGTTGAGGAGGAAGTGTTCAAGACAAAAGATAAAGTAAGTCAGAATATTAATCAGTGCAGCTGTCTGCTGAATCCCTTAAGAGCTTTGAAATCTGTATAACTGAAAAGGAAAAAATTGGAAAAATGTTATAGACAAGCTAACATTTTATTAATATTCCATGACTTTTTAATACAGCTAACAATTGTTGAAATATTCAATTCAGAGTATGCCTAAGCACGACTGCAAAGCAGTGAGGTGTTAGAGAGACATCACTAAGAGTGAATTCTGCATTTGCATGAAGTTCATGTTTCTTCTGCAAGTTCAAATAGGTGCAGAGGTCATTCTGCACAAATGACATTGAAGAATTAAGACCTAAATGTTTAATTGATTTGATGGTTCATAAGTAATAAAACACACGTATCATTGATTAGCCATGCAGTGTTAGTCCTTAAAATAACCTTTGAAATATCCCCTAAAATGTGTGGTAGATGGAATAATGACCATGTTATGCCACAAACAAGGAAGATTTTAGGAAACTAAGGGCCTGACATCTCTAAGTCAACTGAGATGAGAAATAATGAATTTCTTGCTTCCAGTCTTGTGCAGCAACTTACAGGAGACTGAACAGCTTCACCTTGAAACTAAGTGAAAGTGATGATTATATCTTTCATCACAGGCAAGGTGTATGAGAAATTACAGCTAGACTAGAGATGAGTAGTCAGCACTCAAACAAAGCCACACATCCTTTTTCCTATGTCTTAGGTGATGGCACCAGTTCATACTGGCAAGCGTATGAATTTTTACTGTAACTAATAATGTGTTTCTCACAATAAATTAAAAGAATGCTCTCGTAGAAGGTGCATCAAATAATGTTTGATTCTCTTTCCAACATCAATAATTCTATTAAGTGAAAACTTTTTAGCTTCATTGTATTTCAGAATTTCTCAGAGCACGTTTAAGAGCTCTGTAAAAATCATTAGTGAGTTGTGACACTGCCTAGTGTGTAGGTAAATACTTAACTGTTCTGAACAAGATACAAGTGTAAGTAAGTAGAAATGGACTTACTTTAAAAGCAAGACAAGAATAGAATGAAAAATCTTTTTTAAATGTGTATTATTGTGTATGCACATTTATTGTATATATAGAACAAATTCTTTCCATTTGGGATGTAATTTCCATTTTTGAACTAAAAGCCGCAAACACTAAAATATTTTGGCAGTATCTTAGGATATTTTCTTACATTTTGATCCACTTTGCATGTGAATTGCAGATAACTGAACTATCTATCTTGTTTATAAAACCTTATTTTCTACTAATGTCAAAAATGATTAACATATCATTTACTGTTTGCGTTCACACATTTCATTTACATATGTTGCTGTTTATACTATTTTCTTACATCTGTGTCTGTTGAGATGAAATAAAGAAATCAGAGTAGTTGTGCAAATTCTTGTACAGTACCACTTCATTAATTCATCTAATAATGCTAGAAGGACCAGTGACAGAAGATGTATATTCTTTTGCAAGATTGGAATTTTTTTTTTTAATGAAAAGAAATTTTTGTGTGGCAGCAGCGTGTGCTGGACAATTGCAAACAATTTTCAAAAACTGCTGTAAAGATCTTTATTCGTATAGTCAGCAGGACATTAATGTTTGTTTTTTCCAGTTCAAAGTTGAGCAGTATGTTCATTGCTTTTACACAGAAACTTAATATCTTGAAATCTACTTAGTCTTTAATATTTAGTAGTTCATTTAGGGTATTTAATAAAAGAAAAACATGTTTTTCTCTTGTTTCTGTTAATGTGTAATAGAAACCTGAGCAATAACAAGATTACAGATATTGAAGAAGGTGCATTTGATGGAGCCTCTGGTGTCAATGAATTATTGCTCACTAGCAATCGTTTGGAAACTGTTCGAGACAAAATGTTCAAAGGACTGGAAAGTCTTAAAACACTGTAAGTATGATTATTTGAGTGTTCTTATTTCTTCTTTTCCTATTTTTTAAAGTAATATTCTATTTGTCTTTAAAACTTTGATTTTGGATTAGCTATGGATTATTCAAATATACGTTAGGTCATTTTCCTATTTCACAGAAAGGTTCTAATAAAGAATATGATTTTTTTAATTATTGATATAATATAGCTGAAGTTCTTCATTGTGATTATTAGACTGCAGAAATTATGTTCCCTCTTAAATGATGAAGCAGTTGAGAATAGTAAACATGCAACTGCAAAAACAGAAATGGGAATAATCATCTGCTTAAAAGCAACAGAATTTTGCATTGGAATTATATATTTTACATAATGGAATCTGATTCAATCCAACTCAATCATTGGGTATTTTGCTAGAGGAAAAAATTATTCTGGGGGATATTGAAATGTGGGAAATGATTCCCTCCTAAGTAATTTTAATAGTATTTCAACTGTGAATGGAGAAGTGAAAGTACTATAGCTTGAACTTATTTCATTCTTTCCATGAAGGTAGTTTAGCTCTTTCCACTCAAAAAAAAAAAAAAAAAAAAAAAAAAAAAAAAAAAAAAAAAAAAAAAAAAAAAAGATGTTTATACAATCTCCAGCTTCTTGGCATTCTTCAACATCAATCCTTTTGATCAGCAGCCCAGAGCCAACATAAATGTTCTCTGGGGCTTTAGCTGTCTGAAGATATTGGGCATTTTTAATTTTTAATATATCAGACCTATAATATACAACTTTTCATTTAAAGCTGATGAATTTGTTAGAAGCAGCTAGACCACAGTGTAAAAGAAAATTATTTATTTGTTGAAGGGCAAGTAGGAAAGCAGCAAACTTCAAAGCTCCTGTGTTTTCTAACAAATATATGAGAGATTTTAAAATAGGTATTTCATGCTTTATTTCTGTAATTATTACTAAGTTCTAGAATCATGCTGAGGAAGAGTCTGGGTAGCTTGATTTCTTTCATTTGAAAGATTTGAGAATGTAGTAGAAGTGTTTTCTATCTTTTATCCTATGAAAATTTAGTGTGGAAGGGATCTCAGGAGGCCAGCCTGGTACAGACTTCTGCTCAATATAAATAGCAGTTCTGTACTCAGGCTTGGAAGCTCGAAGTGAGAAGTATGGACTGCTGTGTGTGTCTGATTTGGAGGATTTCAGTCAGTTTTATTTATTGTTTATTACCGATTCTGTTACTGAAAGAAAAAGCTAAATGATTAGGGAAATAGCCTCTTGCAAAACAACCTTTTGTTCTCCACTTCTCTCCACACATGCTACACTCAGGTGCCAGGCAGTGCATGGGTCACTGTGGTTCCTCTAGTGGTAGCAGTTTCTTCAAGTCATTCCTCTTGGCCTCCTTTGCTTGGGCAGCAGTTCAGCTCTGGCCCCTGCTCTCACACCACTTTGGCTCCAGGCCATGGTCCAGGAGCTGCTCCTTTGGCTTCAGCCCCTGCCTGGGCTGCTGCTCAGCACTGTCCCTCCTACTCCAGGGTGGTCTTCTCAACTTCCCATTTCCTCCCTCCTCCTGCTATGGCAAGAGTTGCTCCATTTTACCCCCCTCTTTTGCCTTATTTTAAACTCACAGGCTCTCTCAACTCATCTGATCAGTTCAGAGGCACGACAGACTCTTCCTTGTGGTTTGTTTTTTGGCTGCAACAGGCTGATTGGCATGGAGCAATCCCTGACCTCTCCTCACTGAGGCCACCACTTCATGTTTATACCTATTTTAGTTTAAACATTTGCCGGTACATTTTTTTAATTTTAATCTCTTTGCCAGAGTGCACAGAGGAAATGTTAGGTGGTCCATGTTACTTGAAATTCAGCTAGAAATCAATACTAACACAGAAAATTACTGAGTGCTTTGATCAGCCATAAGCTGGAAAATGCTGAACTTTATTTCCTCAGGATGCTGAGGAGCAACCGTGTGAGCTGTGTGGGGAACGACAGCTTCACAGGCCTGAGCTCTGTCCGTCTGCTCTCACTGTATGACAACCAGATCACTACCGTGGCACCCGGCTCCTTTGATACCCTGCATTCCCTCTCTACATTGTGAGTCACATCTGTGTCCCTTTTTAAATGCAGTGAATATGAGGGAAGAGAAAACTGAGTGAGAAGTTGCCAGTCAGTTTACTGAAGAAATGCTTTCTGTGGGTAGCACCATTCAGGAACTTACTTAAACCTCATTTTACATAAAAAGTGACACTTTGCACTGAGTGACTAATTTGTGCATATTAAGGGTGGCATGTTTATAAATAATGGAATTGTCGATATGTTTTTGCTGAAGTTAAGAGATGTGAAAGACTTCTATAAGTAATTTCATTTCTATAACTGGCATGTAATCAACTTAGCTGTCACTTCAGATAGGAAACTTATTCTCTGGAGCAAATAGAAGATGGAAATCTTGAGATGACAAATTAATGGAATAGCTGTTGTCACGTTAAAGCTAATAATGTAAAGTAATCAGCCTTCATCTTTATATGAAATTATTGTATAATCAGTACAGTGTGGCTTGACAACTAGTTAAGTCTTTGACAGTTTTAAATTATTTCTAAATGAGCTCTATTAGGATTCACTATGTAGAGCCTAAATTACAGCTTTTTACTATGGTTTGTACGTACTGTTGTTTGAAGTATTTGAGCTTAGTTTTTTGAAAATAGAGTACTTAGAATGAAAAAAAGTTCTGTCATGAGAGGTGAACTTTCATGTGATTCTAGAAACCTCTTGGCCAATCCCTTCAACTGCAACTGCCATCTTGCGTGGCTTGGAGATTGGCTAAGGAAGAAACGCATTGTGACGGGAAATCCTCGCTGTCAGAAACCTTACTTCCTCAAAGAGATTCCTATCCAGGATGTGGCAATTCAGGATTTTACATGTGATGATGGTAAGAAAGTTTATATTTTAAATTTTACAACTTCAGCTTTCATATGAATAGTTTCATGATTTCCATGGGGCACAAAGTAATGTTCTTTAAATTGAGAAATAGTATTCATTAAATCACTTCATGAGTTTCTTACTCATTTACTTTGTCAATTTATAAACCTTTCACCCACTTTTAGAAAATTAGCAAGCATATGGCTATAGTATGTATACTTTCAGAAGTTTTTTTCACTTATGTTCTGTAATGTAATTAAGAGATAACAAAAAGACAAAGTAAATTAAATGCTGTAGTTCAAATGAGAATATTTTTGAATGTTGATGCTCAAATCAAGCACTCCTTCATACTGCTTGATGAGTTATCGTGATGTTTTGCTTAGTTTGTAACTTCCAGAATTTCCAAATTCCCCTCAACACTTATATAAATAATGGATATCTTGCATCTCTCTCACATGCACTTCCACGTATAGAATTATTAGTTTGTTAGTTTTCAAAACTGTAACTTTCCTTTAAAGGGACTCCTTTTATTTTAAATTATTTGCTTATTTTGAAAATCAGCAAATGTGTATTGTTTTATTATACTTCATTTTTAGTTGCATTCTTTCTTTAATGTTTTGGTTTTTTTTCCAAACAAAAGCATTTTTATCTAGTAATCTAGTAAAACAGCATTGTACTAAATAAAGTGTTACTTGAAATACAAATTCTTGGAACAATGAAATGACAACATTATCCATTCATAGAGATATCATTATGCAGAAATCTCATTTTTACTTATGGGAATTACATGTAGGACATTGTAGCTAATCCTCAAATGTTTTTTGCATAGCAATCTTAGCATCTGTATGTTTTTAATGACCAGGAAATGATGACAATAGCTGCTCTCCGCTGTCCCGCTGTCCTGCAGAATGTACTTGTCTAGACACAGTTGTTCGCTGCAGCAACAAAGGCCTAAAAGCTTTGCCTAAAGGCATCCCAAAAGATGTAACTGAACTGTAAGTGGTGCATGTTTTTTCTCTTTCATAAAAATCAATGTCAGATATATGGCGTCAGATTCAACAATAAGGGGAGCATCGAAGAATTTGCTTCCATAAATCGGTTGAAATTTATTGATATACTGCTTTGTAGATATAGAGACTTACAAAGAATTTTGAGAATGCTGAAGTTATGTTTGAATTAGCAATGCTGGCTACATCTCAAAACACTCTAAGAATCCTCTGTTGCTGCAAAGTTTTAAAAATTTATATAGAGAGAGTTATAATCACTCTTGGAATTTGTAACTCCCACAATTAAACATTGTGTGTCACTGAATATGGTCATTATATTACAAAGGATTAAATTATAGGCAGAAGTGAATCTGATTAATCTGTGAACACTACTCTAAATAGGAAGGAATGAAGTTCAATTTTATTCAAAAGCAAAAAAAAGGGGAGATTTAGGTTAGATATTAGGAGGAAGTTTTTCAGTTGGAGGCTGGTGACGCACTGGAATAGGTTGCCCAAGGAGGTTGTGGATGCCCACAAAGAAGAAGACAATAAATCTAATTTTTCTAATGAAGGGTAATTTATTACTGTCTTCAGTCCATAACATACTGCATAAGAACAGGCTTGTGATATATCTCGTATGATATATCATGAGAGACACAGGAAGAAATTAGAGAAGATTATCAGAATTACAGGCATGACAAATGAATTTGCTCATGTTCAGAACCGATATCAGTCCTTGCTATTTCTACATTAAAGCACTATATCTGATATGTCAGATCTTGTTTATTCTTTACTATGAAAGTGGTGAGACACTGGAACAGGTTGCCCAGTGAGGTTGTGGATGCCCGCTCCCTGGAAGCTCAAGGCCAGGCTGGATGATGCTTTGAGTAACCTGGTCTAGAGGGAGATGTCCCTGCCTATAGCAGGGCATTTGGAACTAGATGATCTTAAGGGTACTTTCCAACCCAAACCATTCTATGATTCTGTGATTCTTTTTTGTGATAGCTCAAGTCCACACTTAACATCACTTACATAAGTCATACTTACTTGTCACCAGTAGGTGTGTGTGAAATGGAGATGATAACTCATCTTAAAAAAGCATTTAAGAATTAAAACAAAATGCTGTGTAACTACTATTGCTTCATAATCTTCATAGTATCTGATACAATAGTGTTTGCATCTTAGGCTCCAGGTGCTTTAGAAAACGGTATTTGTACACAAGGCTTCTTATAAAATGAGTACATTATGTATTCCTTCAAAACTTTCTTTACTGTTGGATTCTAAGATTAGTAAATGAAGATGCTATCATTTTAATGAAAAAAAAAAGCTGTTTATTTTATTTTTCTATTTTAGATATTTGGATGGAAACCAGTTTACTCTTGTTCCTAAAGAGCTCTCCAACTACAAGCATTTAACACTTATGTAAGTCACTTTAAAACAACTTGCTCTACTCATACGAAAACAAAATAAAAAAATCTCCTTCTTCATTATACATGGTTTTATTTTTAGAATAAAAAAAGAAAGAAAGAAAAGTATCTTTTAGTAAAGATAACACTCAAATACATTTTATAATGAAGGGTTTTTTATTGCACTGATTACATCCAACATACGATATACTCAGTCCCATTTTATAAACTGAGGTGTTTCATTCCAGTGATTACATCACAAAGTAAAGTATTAAACTTGAAAAAGTTATAAGATTTTTAAAAATATGTTAAGGTATTACAATATTTTGTTACTTAGTTCCATAAAGGCATTATAAAGAAAGATTCTGTGGTATGCTTTATATAGGAATAGCAGGAGTAGCACTTGCTGCAGTTGTAATACTTGAATGTAACTGCTCTGAAACTTATTACTTCTACTTCATGAAAGACTTGAATACGATTTCCGGATTTTGGAAGAGTAAAATGGGAGAAACAGGAAGGCTGTCAATGTAAATGGATGTAATTCTATTGTCTTTGTTAGCACTATAAAAATTTATGCCAGCTGAGTTTGAACTGCATAACATTCTGAAAGTACTTTGCGGTTTCAGTGTAATCGGGGAAACAAGTAACAAAAGCAGGGAGAAACAAAATCCTTTAAATTTCTTTTTGACTGATTTTAGAGCACTGCTGCTAAAATTGAAAATAGTTTGGCATTCAAAACCAAGAACTTTATTTCCTTTACTTACCGAATACTAGCTAAAAGTGGCTGTGCTCACAAATTTAGAGAAGAGATTCTCCACTACCAAAAATGGTTTTTCAACAATGTCACCAACATTAGCTGCATTTTTACCAATGTTGAATAAGAGCCTGCATGTTGTGCTCATAAAAATCTGCACCAGTGGAGGTGACCCACTGTTGCCACTGCTGAAATGCACCACCACCATGACCTCACCGCACTCACTGTTTGGTCTCCATATCTGTTCAGCAAGCATCAACGATTGTCAGTGCTGTAACATGGAGGAATTCAGAGACACACCTTTGCTTCACCCGCACTTCCATGTCAGGTGTCATTTTGTCAGACAGCTCCTTTGCAACAAAATGTATTGGTGGGAAGGTTCAACCTCTATTGCCATACAACCAACATCCACCTCTTACATCATAAGTCAATCTAATAAAATATAATTACTTTTGGAGCAGCCCTCACATCCAGTGTAGACCTTTTAGGAAGTCTCTATTGAACATGTAGGGAAGTTAAGTAAAATCTAACTTGAAGCACACAGAAAACAAATGTTGGAATTTCAGTGCATAGAAGAAGCAAACATAGAACTGTATGCATTAACGGTGTCACTGGAGAAAGGATATATGAACTGGAGATGAAGTTAATTAGAGGAACAATAACAAGGGTTCTATCACAAAAGTTAGGTACTCCTGGTATATTTTTTACGAACATAGCCAGAAATTATATAACTTTACCTCTTTGTTGGAAAATACACATGAACTGTTTAGCAGACATCTGTAATACAAGAATTTATAGTTGAGCAGTAAATAAAATACAAATGAGTATTAACAGTTTCCATTTACCAGACTTGTGGGGATACACTGTTGTTATCTCTTCTGATTGTATCCTCATACAGCTGTCCTGAACTTGAGAATGTTCCTCAGCTGTGTTTGGAAAATCAAAATACTATGCATAATTTTTCTGTGGCCAAGCAAGGAATTACTTATGACTCTACTGAGATCCAGACTTACACAGACAATTGTTTATTTCTAATTTCTTTCTTACGTAAATAGATTGCACTGTCATACATAGCTAGTATGTTTGCTATTATGAGTCAGTTGTCTTAAATGCTTTCATGAAATTTCAAATGGAGAAATATGTGCACTGCATAGCTACTTAGCAGTCAAAATACCAAGATTACCTCAGAAACAAATGCTTAAACAGATTCAGAATTAGATTTTACCACAAAACTTTAGTGAAAGTTTAGTGAAATAACCAACAGAAAATGTAAACTAGAGCAAAATATGAGACTCAGGAACAGGCATTATTCAAATTCAATACAGCTTCTTCAAAGCTTCTTTGAAGCTGCCAGTGTACCACTCCAGCTTCTATCATACTTGCACTTAAGATTTTATCCCTTAGAATATCGAACAACAAGAAAGATGTTAAGACCATAAATCATATATAGTATTCTGTATAATAGTCTGGGCTTTGATGTATTCAGCCTACAGATGTGAAGTAGAATATTATATGATATTTACTCAGGTTTCATTAGGGACACATGAACAAAAATGATTTCAACTTTAAACCATCACTTTTATTTCTATACTTGGGTTCATGTAAGATTGTGTTATTAACTTAGGAGCATGATGGACATTGCTATTGTAAAAGAATGCATCACGCTGCTTTTTCATCTCTGTTGAAATGAAAGTGCTTTTCATTGATCAAGCTAAATGCTTGCTGGGCTTGTGTATGGCATGTAAAAATAAAAATGTGTGCTGCTTTAAATATTGATACCAATGATGATGCTACTTCTACTAATAAAAGTAATTTGTCTGTCAGTTTAACTTCCAGTGTTTCAGGACTCGGGCAGTCATTTTAAGGTCTGAATTTTTGAATTTATTTTTTATAGAGATTTAAGTAACAACAGAATCAGCACTCTTTCTAATCAGAGCTTCAGCAACATGACTCAGCTGCTCACCTTGTAAGTTTAAACACGTAACATTGACACTCTAAAAACATTACAGTGTTTTTTGTCTTGAAAGAAGGGGCATTTTGTTGATATTAAAGCTTGCTTTTGTAGAGGCTGTAAAATAACTTGTTTCCTAACTATGTGTGCAAAAGCTGTTTATGGTCATGCTCTGCATTCTGTTTTCTGAATGCTTGATTCACTTGCTGACAGTAATGCGTATGTTTTCAGAATTCTTAGTTACAACCGCCTGAGGTGTATCCCTGCACGGACTTTTGATGGGTTGAAATCACTTAGGTTGCTGTAAGTATTATTTTTTAACTATTATTATTTTCCAAAATTTTTATTTGGACAAAGCAGATACCAGATTTTAAAATCTATCAATTCTTTCAGAAGTGATAATTATGTAGTCGTAGAACTCTGAATTCATTCTAGGAGAATATACTGTTAAAATGCTGCACAAGACATTAGATGATCCTGGACAATGTGTATGCATTAAAGCAAATGCTTATGACTTTTCTGCTTTTTAATCCTCACTGTACCTCTTTTTGAGTTATGTTCTTGATTGTTATGATAATTAAATTCTAACAAAAATGTAGTATACATAAATTTCTCAGTTATGTATGAGGGTTTTTGCAGCTGAATCATGAAGATATTTATTCCAACAGTCAGTTTTCGTGTTTCTTGCTTCATTTATTTGAGAGTATTTCCAAAACCATTGCATTATGATTAACTGTTGAAAGCCAATAAAGTAAATTTTTGATTCTAAGAAAACTTTCACTTTTAATGCTAAGAAAAAATGTGGTTGAAAGGGCACTAGGAGAAGCAAAAAAAAAAAGAGAGAAAGCAGAATAAAAACCAGTCTGTCTGCTTCAGTTTCAGTTTGTTATAAAAAATAATAAATTCTATATCAAAAGATTTCCCAGCTGAAAATGTGATTTTTGTCTCTATTTTGATATTTTATAACTGTTTTGTAGCTTAAATTAATTAAATGCTTCAAGCATGAAATTTTTTCTGTGTGCTCATGTAACTCCATTTAAATACAAAAAACTTCAATTGTTAACCACAATTCTGTATACTTGTAAATGAATGTATTTGTGTAAAAGGAGAGATTTTTATGTAGGGAGACCAGTCCCAGTATTGATGCTTAATAAGATCCAATTAAGAAAACAACCTTAATACTTATTTATATTCATGAACAGTCAGTGCCTGTGTTTCCCATATAACTGTGAAAGATAAAAAAACACGTGAATAAAATTAGTAGGAATTTCAGGGAACTGATGAAAAAAGACAGAAATGACAACTCTTCTGACAAGCCTAAATTCAGTAAGCACTTTGCAGAAATACACTTTTGACAGGCCTTTGTTGTTTGAATTTTAAAATATTCATATCATTATTAATATTTTTAATTAAAAATATAAGTTGAAAAAAATCAAGTGATAAGTAGGTAGCTGGTTAGAGCTTTAAAAAAAGATTGGAAACACAGAAGCACTGGAAAAAAAAAAGGAGATTTGAACTGTTTACAAAAGCTGAAATTTTTAAAATGAATCTGCAGATTCATATATCTTATTTTATTTATTTTCTTTCTAAGGTCCTTACATGGCAATGATATTTCTGTGGTTCCTGAAGGAGCCTTTAATGATCTGTCAGCATTATCACACCTGTGAGTATTCAGATGATAATCATGTGTTTTACATTATGTTTAGCAAATTTCATATACTTGAACAGTGATAACAGTAAAGGTCTGCTCTGGAACAGCCCCGTGCAGAAGTACAGGCTGGGTACTGGCCAGCTTAGCAGAAAAATCCTGGACCTCCTTGTGGGCAGCAAACTGAATGTCAGCTACGTGCCCTTATAGTAATGAAGGCTAAAGATTCTCGGGCCAAATTAGTGAGCATTAAGCTGATTAAGGAGAGTGTTCACTCCCTTCTGTTCAGCCCTTGTAAGGACAGTTCTGGAATACACATTCAGTTCCTCTATTGCAAAGTAGGTGTGAACAAAACAGAGCAAGTCCAAGATAGGAGCAAGCAAGGTGGAGTGGGCAGTGGAGCTCTGTATTAGTTCTGTGAGCTAATTAAGGAGATAAAAGAGATTTTAAGAATGGACCTAACAGCAGTCTTCAAACCTCTAGTCTAAGGGAATAACAGCGATGACTGAAACAGATTTTTCTCAGAGGGTGCAAAGTCAAGGATAAAAGTCAACAGTCACAATGTGCAATATGGGAAGTTTCATTGAACATAATAAAAAATTCTTCATCATGAGGGGTGGTTCAGCTTTGGAAAAGGTTGTCCAGAGAAATGGAGGAATCATCTCCCTGGGGATAGTCAGAACTCAACAAAGCAACCCTCTCTGACTTTGAAGTGAGCCATGCTTTGTGCAAGAGGTAGGACTAATTGACCTCTGAAGAACTCTCCCAACCTAAATTATTCTGTGATTCTCTGTTGATAGTTATTAAGTTGATATTGAATGTATGGCATCTGATTACACAATCTCATGTGTGGCAATACTTCTGTTCTTAGTTTTCAGTGGGAATTCAGGGCAAGTTTCCTATCTATAAACCATAATATGTTTATGGATAGTTATTAAATCTTTGCTTGCAGTTGAGGAGTAAATTGACTGACGCCTTTAGGTGTACATGTTTTTTATTTTTCTGAGCAGCTGGAGTTGTTAAATGATTGTCTTCTAGTTCCGTGTTGGACATTTGCATTTAATTTCCGTTTCTCAGAAATTTGATGAGCCTGATTAAGCTTTAAGTCATTGATAACTCATTCAAAAGCTACTATTAAACTAGCTCAACTGTATCAAATATCAGTAAGACTTAAATAGACTTGATTGTCCTTGCTGTTATTTTTTTCTTAATGTTACTAGTTATCCTTTCTAACATTCCTATTTTAAAGGTCTGCTCTGGAACAGCCCCGTGCAGAAGCACAGGCTGGGTATTCCTATTCTAGCAGAGAAACTGCACTACCTCAATTTGGGCTGACAATTACTCTTGCAAATATGACCTGGGCAAATTATAGATATTTCTTTTTACATGTGGAGATCCCCATGACCGAACCATATTACCAGGCCTCATTTTTGTTACTACTCTCACTAAAGCCTGACTGAACATATATATGTGTACTTGTATATGTGTATATGCAATTTCTTCTGTTCAGCTGAAAGCATGCAACTATAATGAAGAGAATGTCCTACTCAGTGTGGCAGAAAAGAGTTTCTGCAGTAGTTCCTACCATCTTTGCATGCCATGGATTTTATTCTCTCTCTTGAAAATCCACTGATCCAAAGTTATTCAGCAGTTGAAAAAAAAAAAATCTTAATGGTTATTGTATTCCTTGAAAGGATTATGGACGTACTTTTAGAATAGCACGATGCTTCTACGTCCAAATCTGCATAAGATATAATTGTTCTCAGAGTTTTAAGAGTATTTATGATTTCTAGCAGAAAAAAAAAGAGACTAAAAAAGCTTTTCCACAAATTAATTCCAAAAAAATCTCTAGCTAAATTGCTTTTTAATTTAAAAAGAAATCAAGTTTATTTAAAGAAATGGATTTGTTTTTGCAACGGGGCAATTCTTACATAGCTCTCACCAAGCTAGGAGATGTAGCTTTATTTACTTATAAAGGAGAGGTCTCTTACAGAAGAGCTGTGAGTTCAGTAGGAGAGCTCCAAAGAGGAAATAATTAAATCAAATTTGGAAGTTTGGAAACAGATGGTTTGTACGAACCCGGGAGTCATAAACTGAAAAGGAAAAATATCTGGGTGGAACTCTGTGAGGTTGCTCTGGTTGCTTTGGAAGAAATAGTTTTTTCCTCCTAACCTAATTTCCAAATATCAGTTTCATTCTGATGATGCAGCTAACCTCACTCATTACTGCCAAAGGTAACACAGAGCTAGCTTACAGACATGTAGCCAAGAATGGCTAGGTTTCTGACCAGGTTTACTGCTAAAACTGTTACTTCATTTGGAGCCTCAGCTCAGACACTTCATGCGCTTAGGGTCATTTTGGTGGAGGCAGAACTGATGAGTGTTTTTAGGAGGTTTTTTTTGCCAACCTCAGTCTTCTGGGGTCTGTTTTCAAAAGCAACCATTTAAAACCTTATTCTTTTTTTGCTTGTCTGCTTTCCACAGGGCTATTGGAGCAAATCCTCTTTATTGTGATTGTAACATGCAATGGCTGTCTGATTGGGTAAAATCAGAATACAAAGAACCTGGAATTGCACGATGTGCTGGCCCTGGAGAAATGGCAGATAAACTTCTACTCACAACTCCATCTAAAAAATTTACTTGCCAAGGTACTGTTATTTATGTGGGGTTTTTTTTCACATTCATTTGCAGTTGAGCATTTGTTATAAAGTCTTCACTCTGCCTTGTCATCATTTTTCCTTGTGCTCAGGAATGTAGCCATTGCATTCAGGAATTGAATCTAGTTTAAAGACTTCTGTGACTTTTTTCCAAGCAGAAGGTTGAGACAGAAAGTCTTCTGATTTTCAGTGTAATAATCCTCAGTGCATGGGTACCTAGTACTGTCTTTGTTGTGAACTGCAATTTAATTATTAAATCTACACTTTCCTTAGCCAAAGAATGTTCTTTTCCTTGGACTTTTACAGTAAATACAGTTAAAAAAAAAAAAAAAAATCTATAAATATACTCAAAATCCTGACTATCTGCATTATATTAGTGGTATGTAGTTGCATCAATATGTGAAGAACGCTGTTTTCTTTGATGTTTCAGAAGAAAGCCTAAAAAATGCAGAGTAGATAAAGGACGTGATTTCCTTTATAGAGGTAGCATTCCAGAATGTTACTACGTAAGGAGGTTTCTTTCGGTGTGAAAGAAGTATTTATCTTTCTGGTCCCAGGGCTGTTGGCACCTTTATCGCAGCTTGTCTCCAATTTAATTCTCAGGTTCTTTTTCTGAATCTTAGAATTTGTTGCCTTAGAAAAGAGTCCTTTTGATTCATATGTGAGCATCGACTAGGTTTGTTTTGCTGTTTAATCCTTCTCTATGCTGTCCACTTCTCCGTTTTTAAATATTTTGAAACCACGCTGTATCTTCATTTTTCAGACTCAGGCTTATACTTGTAAATCATTACTAAGCTTAGAGTTATTTGTGAGGCATCAGATAAATATAATCTTGTCTTTTGTAGAATTAATTTATTATCATACTCTAGGTAATCTTCAAGATATTTTTACTCGTTCATCTTTTAACAAATAACATGTGTTAATCCATTGTAAATTCTTTTAAAAAGTGATGGGACTGTGCCAGAGTTAGCTCTCATTCCAAGTTGTTCTTTACTACATGTTCATCCTATTTAGTCTTCTCTCCTTAGGCTTTCTGTGAAAAATGTTTTTGTAAACAAAAAACACTAGAAATTCAGCACTTTGTTTTTTTATTTTAACATGATTCCAATTGATTGTCTTTCCGTCAAAATCCTTCTTGCTTTTTATTGGTAATACTTCTTCAAGGTCATATCTATGTTATGTGCATATGACACTAATCTTTTGCAGAGTTCCTTTGTCTGACTTTAAGTAGAAGATCTAGTGATCAGTCTGATCAATTTCTCTACAAGCATCCATTAAGCATTGCAGATGTCTTCTTATTACACATTGTTGTAAAGATATAAATGAAAGAATATTTTCAGGAAGATGAAGAACTTGCTAGGTTATTCTCCATTTTAAAAAACTGAATCACCCCTTCCTACAATCATTGTTATATTTCCATCAGAATCCAGATAGTTTATCTTACTTCTCGCCCATCAGAAAATATCCTTTATATTATTATGCAGGGTAAGAACTGTATTTGTTTCACTTCCAAGAGTGGAGATCTGGTATTATGGATACCTTTGAGAGAAAATAATTTTCCTGCTACTGTTCTTCTGTGAAGATGCTCATAATTACAGATTGCCACTCAGCAGCTTTTCAATGACATGATGGCCCTGTAAGACCTTATATGTCTCTTACTCAAAGATAAGTAATTTTATCTTTTGCTTAAAAATGATCTTCTGAATAGGAATTAGGAAGATGCTCTATTCCAATTAAAAGCAAAATTCTAGGCTTTGAGGGGAGATTTTTGTCAGTTATTTATCTGTTTATGTTCTGTTATTGTGTACAGAAGTGTGTAATTCCCTCTTACCAGTATCTGGATTCATCTGAAAGTTAAATTAGTTCTTGAATCTGAATCACATAAAAAATAGCTTGCTTGAAAATGAACATTTAAAAACAAAACCTCAGTTTTAAATTTCTATAAAATCACTGGAAAAATGAACCTTATCCTAATTTATGAATTGCTTTCTTGAGAGGATCATCCCATAGTATTTTCTTCTTGCAGTTGTTTTTCTAGGTTTATGAGGTGTTTTTGTTTTGTTTTTTTTTTTCACATGGCTTCTAACAGATTCTCAATCTTTTACTCTTTTACCATTCATGCCCTGCTTCTAGAGATTCCAGGGCCTTGTGGGTTTCTGATACCAGGTAAGGTTGCAAGTAAGACCTGGAATGGATGACATGTTTAAGAACGGACCTTCTGACCTTCCTTTTGTGTTCCTCAAACAGACTTCTTTCCTACAACATGCATGCTTACTGTTTGTTTTCCCTTTTGGTGAATTTAGAGCTGACTCGTCATGATATATCATTTAATGTAGATGTATGAAAAACTTCATTATTTTAAAAGCCTAAGATCAGGGTCTGAAAGTTACCTGATGGGTGCCACTCCATTGTACTGACATCAGTGATTTCATTAGCAGTTTCTCTATAAAGTGACTTTGTAGATACTGACTTTGATTCAAGAGCAAAGAGGATCTCCTGAGTCATAAAAAGTCAGTATTTCTTACAAAGACATTCGACATTTTTGAGAAGGTTTATGTTATACTTTTCTTCAAAAATATTAGATAGGTGAGTGAGCATGTATGTATATTTATTAATAAAATAATACGCAGTCCATTTTTCACTCTTTATGGAAGAACAGTGCTTTTTGCTTTTATTCTAAGATTTTTTTCCAGTTATAGCTTATGCAAAGATGTATATATCAACACAGTGAAAAATCAAACAATAGAATGTTTTTTTTTTTAACATATAACAGTCTCCTAGCACATGCAAGCAAAGAAGGAAAGAAAAGACATAGTAAAAATGAGAACAGGATCTGAAACTTCCTTTTTATCAGAAGTAAAAATATCTGAAGCATTTCAATTTTTGATCCTGTAACTGAGAAATTATGAATCAAAGTATTCATTTTTCTTGGATACTATACATAGGGAGAAGTTTGAAATTAAAACTTATGACAAAATCAGACAGTCTTACTTACTAACTTGTTGGGAATGATGTTCCCATTTGGTGATTGTATTTTAGAGTTGAAATTTAGTTTGGTAATTCATACAGGAAAACAATGTCTGTTAATTAATGTTTTTAAATTCATGCCAAATAATAGTTGTTTTATTGAATGGGAAGTAGAAATGAGGCCATGGTGTCTGGAACAAGAAAGAGCAGAGACTTACAGTCTACAGTAAGGGCTTCTTACCCCATATGTTTTTCATTGCACATCTTAATACCCTCTAGCAATAATTTGTAATAGTCTAAGGTGTTTTTTCCAACTTGCCTACCTTTGCTGTTTGCTGCTTTAAGAAACTGTAATCAGCTATAGATTTTTCTCTCAAAATAAGGTAATGAAAACAAGAATAGTCAATGATCTGCATTGATGGTGACTTTGGCAATTGTCGCAACTTATCTTACTGCAAATTACTGTGTTCATCTCCCAGCATTTGCTTGCAAACTGCGACACAGATGGTTACTAGCAACTACAGATTAAAGGAAAAGTTTGTCAATCTCTCTGTAGCACCCCTACTGTATCCTTATAATCATATGGCTTCCTTCCATGCCAACTCCTTTACAGTAGCTTATCAGAGCTTGCCAAATAATAAATAATTTTAAAAGTTTAATAGAAAACAAAAAAAAATCCACATCGCATCTTATTAAAAGTGCACTGTTACTTCAGAAAAAAAATTGCAGTCTGGCTTGTTTCATTTAAAATCATAGAGAGCAAGCAGGCAGTTCCACCACTAGGTACAAGGAGTTTGTTTTGCCTAGTCATTGAAGAAATCACAAGTTATCCATTAAAACTTAAAAATTACCTGTGGATGAGCGTAGATTTTTCCACAAGTCAAATCTGAAATAAAGCGGGAGTCAGTAATGTCATCAAGCAATAAAGCTGGAGATAGCAGAGAATGTATGTTCATTCTCTTAATAGGCGTTCGGTCAAGTCACCCCTGTTTTCTTTTACAATAATTAATCTTTAAACTTGCACAAATTATTTGAAAATGAAGCATTATTGTAAGCAGATGATTTCTAATTTTAAACAAATAACTGCTAATTTATTTGTTTGCCTGACAAAAGAAAAAACAAAAACACAAAAACAGCAACTGGTAGTTTATAATTTAAAAATTTGTCATGAAAAAGCAGTATTAAAATTGTAAGTCAACAGAAAATAAGCAAATATCTAATAAATATTTATATATTAGGAATAAGATTTATGTGGGATAAAAAATTAGTCTGTTTTTTAAAACTTTAGATCTTGTCAACATTCCTTTCTAATTTCTGTTGTTATAACCATTATAACAGAAGCAAGACTGAAGGCATTAAAGGCAGCCCTCTTTTGTATGTAGATTTATGGTACTTTGGGAGTCAGTTAATGCAGAAATGAACTATGGCTGACTGTAATGAGACAAGGTGCTGTATAGACCAACTTATAGTGAGATAGCTTAGACAGCATACTTTACAACATTGTAGCTCTCAGATGTTCAACCTATTTTGCTAGGTCATTTTGCCATTAGTTCTATGTTATCCAGCAAATAAATAAAATTACAGTTCATGGTAACACCACCAATAAAAGGACTGGAAACTGCTATATCCTTTTCTTCTGAGACAATTTTTACCTGATAAATTTGAAACTGTATTCTCAATTTTGTTAATAAAAAGGGAAGGCAATTACCATGGATCAGAACTATACAGATTTCAAAGAATGAGGATATCAAAATCACTTTGGGGTCAGCTGCTGCTGCTGCTTCTTTTTTTTTTTTTTTTTTAAAGAGATTAAAGCCAAAAATTGAGCAGCGAATGTGTTTGGGCATGTCAAAAGAATTATGGACAATCAAGCATTCCATTCATGCAGAAATATAAAAAACAAATACTGTTTTAGAATGTATAGCAGTGTAGCAGATACCGTCAAATATGAATTAGTAGTTTGTTTCTGAATATTACATTTGTATTTTTAAGGGCCCGTGGATGTCAATATTCTTGCTAAGTGTAACCCTTGCTTATCAAATCCATGTAAAAACGATGGAACCTGCAATAATGATCCAGTTGACTTCTATAGATGTACTTGCCCATATGGTTTCAAGGTAGGTACTGGATAAAGAAGAAAAAACATTAGTGAAGTTTTAGCCACTCCCTTTTAACAACAGTTTGTTTTAACTGACTCCCTTCCATTACTGTCTCAATTTTCTTCTTAAATTCCACCGGTTCCTTTCATAGGGTCAAGACTGTGATATTCCCATTCATGCCTGCATTAGTAACCCTTGCAACCATGGTGGAACTTGTCATTTGAAAGAAGGAGAAAAAGATGGTTTCTGGTATGTTGTTTTTAACTCTAATAATAGAATGAAAAACCGTTGACTTTTATATTTATGCAGGTGTTAATCTTTGGGTTCTCTTTGTTGATAATTGCACCTCAAAGGCAGGTTTTCATTGCTTCTGAAGTTTTCAGACATGTCACTATCCATGGAAAGCTTCTACATCCCCAAAACTCCTAAAAACAACAATAAATGGTTGTGATTAGTAGAGGCTTTTCAGGTCAAGACAACATAATATTGACTCCATTATGCTAATTAATAGCTGGCTCAATCCCTGCTGAAAAAATCTCACCATTCATCTGTTGTCGTATGTATTACTTTAACAGACAGCGTGTAAATGATAAAATTTAAATCCCAGTGAAAGAGAAAATTAATGATTCATTTGAAACTCACTATGCCAGCAGATAAACATGCTGTGAGCATTTTTAATCTTGAGTTATTTAATCACACAGTACAATTACTCCAGATGTACTTCATGAATTATGAAATAAAGTTCTTCTGTGAAATTATTAGTCATTTAATAATCTACACCTCGAGCTTGTTAAAAATGACACTACAAAAAGAAACAATTCATTATCCTGCAATTCATTAAGACATTATTTTTATTTTTTAATCCATATTCTGCCCAAAGATTAAATACTTTTCTATTTAAAATTAAATGTATAGATCTTAATATTATGTCTCTAGAATTTAAGGTGACGTAGTCCTTTCTCAGGATTCAAACTTTTCCATTTGTTTGTATAAACACTACATATTTTGAAAATCAAATCAAAAGATTTGTAAAAACAAAACAACAATCATCGTTTTGAAAAGTTTACGTAGGCTTTGTTTTCAGATATAAATACAGGTATTATATGTGGAACTTTAAGTACAGATGTATAATGATGTATTTAACTGAACGATAGTTCAGTAGTAGTACCACTTACTAATCTCTGATTCTGCAGTTTTTTCCTTTCGCTTAAATTATTTTTAAGAACAAGACAAACAACAAAAAAATCTGGATTATTTTCCTTAAGAAATATAATCTCATGTAATAACAGAAAGGTAGTAGTCATTTCAAAAGAAGTGACCAGTTATTTCAGAAACTAAAAGGCACAAATTCAGAAGCCTTTCTTTTTGTCTGTAACTTAAAATGATAAAAATATTTGGAGAATATTTAGTACATTTATTTTATATCATCCATATTCTCTTAGAGGTAGTGATTATAATTAGCAACCCTATTAATTACAGAACTTCTCTGATCTTCCCAGCTAAAATATTTGTGTGCTTGGTTTTATTTTTGGTTTATAGGTGCGCTTGTGCAGATGGATTTGAAGGTGAAAATTGTGAAATAAATGTTGATGACTGTGAAGACAATGACTGTGAAAATAATTCTACTTGTGTGGATGGAATTAATAATTATACTTGCCTTTGTCCACCTGAATATACAGGTAGGAGTATAAGAGAAAGTGAAATTCCTAATAGGAAAGAGCTCTGTTTTTCTATGCGAGTCAATTTACTTTACAATTGATTTAGGGCCAAGTTTCCCTCAATAATTCTCTTCTGTATGGTTTATAGTAAAAAGTAGACTTAATACCTACTCGTTAATTTCCCTGTTAGTTTTCGAATTATAGCATTTTGAATTTTAAAAGATGTTTCAAAATGTGTTCCTCACATATTTTTACCTAGCCCAACCAGGCCAATGAAGAATGCCCATAGATGTAAAAATCAAAAAAATATATATTACTTTTATCTTCTATTCTCCAAGTTGTTACCAGGGCAGAAAAATGTCTATTTGTGCTAACAGGGAAATGGATTTGGTGTCCTGGATGTTGTCCTGCCCTCCTTTAAAAATATTAATTCATATTGTGATGAAGAAAATAGCATTACAAGAAAATAGCATCATTAGAGTTGGCAGTCAGGCTCCTCTCTTTGAGACACAGGATACCTTGCATGCTCTCATCATGTGTGTGAGAATGGAGAGTAGTTAGAACAGGAACACGTGAGAACAAGAAGAATCTATTGTTTATGTTCATCTGTTTGATAGTTTTCCTAGTTAGACAGATCTGCTTTCTGTCAGCTAGCAGTCCACTAGGAGAACGCAGAGCTTAAATTCACAAAATTATTTGAAACGCATAACGAAGAAGCAAGATCCTCTCTAACCTAGGAATTAACTAACTATACCTAGTCACCCTCTTTTCTTAATATAATCAATCCTATTGCGTCTGTCAGTTATGCTTTTCATCATCCTCAGGGAGCACTAAATTTGAGCTCTGGAAAACTGGAAGGCGAGGTTAAGTAATGAAGTAATTTCATTTATTGAAAACACAGCTAACACCTTTTTAATCCAAGGCATTTCCATCATTATTTTTACAACCTACTGGATTGCTGAAATGATTTAGAGTATTCAGATTTGAGTCAGTATTTAAATCTTTAAAACCCTCAGTAAGAAAAAATGACAGAACACAGGTATAAGAAATAGGATATTGTAATCTGTGTATTCATACAGTACTTTTTCTGGGTAAATGTTTGGAAAAAATTTCTCTTTGAAGAATGAGCCACAATACCTAAAGGGATACGAGTTAAAAGCATATGTAGCAGAATAAGGTAAATAAGAATAACGGTGGTGGTCCACATCTGGAAGATTAGACGTAACCTACTGCTTAAGAAAACTTTTTTGTCAGGTACTCCTCCCTCACTGTACTGGAAAGCAACTGACAATTCAAGCCTTAGAAAGAAATAGTAGGTAACAGTGTCAATAAGTAGTGGCAGATCTTTGTTACTTTTCCTATATCTAATATTTCAGCTATATCTGAATCAAGCTTCAGATCCCAGTATTAACTGCTGTCTCCTTTGAAAATGAACAGATACTCTTTTGCATAGGATGGAAGAAAGCAAACCAGTCAAATCAGTCTAGTTTACCTATTTAACAATTCATGTTAAGAGGTTTCATGTACTTATTAAATAGTAGACAATTCATTTGCACATCCATCCTCCTCAGCAGTTTTTTGCGTGTGTTTCTTGTTTCTTCATTTCTGACATTACCCTAGGTGCATTTGGACTGCTAGGGCAAACAGCTTGTTGTATTCATAATAACCCATGGGAAGGACTGTTTTGTATTAAATATCCATGGAGTGGATACAAAGGCTTGTTTATATGTGCTAGCCTAAAATTTTGATTGTGTGCTTGTTGCATTTCTGTTGTATTTTAATTGAAATGTATGTTTTACATTTACAATTAAAACTTCAATTGTAGTATTTATATATATGTGTAGTTAGAGCAAAAAATGAGAGCATAAATGTTTGCAGCATTTTTAACTTGATGTTTGTAATGTAGTTGGGTTTTTTTTAGTTAAAATAGAAGAAAGTGTATTTTTTATTTGACTCATACCTAAGGAAATGGCAATTACTTTGTTTTGAGGAGCCTGCTGTTGTTGTAGAACGTTGTGCATAATTCTAACAAGAAAATGCTGTGAGTTTCCATGTCAAGTGGTTTTGTTTGCTAGCTGGAATTCTTTTAGAAAAGTAAATTTGTTTTCATAGATACAGTTTCTAGTCAAAATTGTTACTGAAATCAATAGGTCATATAAGTAAACTATTTCCAAACCTTATGAAAAAAAAGATACACGTTTTTCCAAACATGCAAGACCAGAGCCTCTGCTCACTATATAGACAAGGTGGACATAGGTTGTAGCAAAATTTCAAGTTTTTCTTTCCACAGGACACAGTACAGAATTCTACAGTACATTTTCTGTCTTACAGAGCATCTGAAGTTAGGATACATTCTGTGAGATCTTAAGCCAGTTTTAATTCAGATAAATTATAAGGAGAAAATATAAAACATCGTTTATCTTTTACACTTGACACCACTGTTCTTGCATAGTAAGTATGTTACTTACTTAAGTAACTTCCAGCATTAAGAGTTACTCTGGATACATTAGGATCTAGAAATGGTAGTGTTCAGAATATAAAATGATCTTACAGTTGCCTCAAGTGTGTATGAGATATCAAATTATTTATAGGATTGTTTTTTCCTCTTGCTCATAGCTCGATTTGAAAGCAATAGAACCCATACCCAGTATTGATACAGTGATGTTTCATTAGGAGTTTTGCAGGCATTTGGATGTCGGTATATGTTTTAACAGGTTAAAATCAGATCTGTATATTACTATGTGCTGTTTGTTTTTGTTTTTGTTTTTTTTTTTCATGGAAGGCATTTTTCAGTAGATAAACAGCTGTACTAGCTGAGCAAAAGTAGGCTAATCATCAGAAAAACTGGCTACATATTCAGTAGGTAAAAAAAGATTTTTAAATGTGAAAGTATGTATCTTTAGTTCAGAAAGTCCCTGAACCATAAATTGCTGGAAGCTGAACAGTATACATACCAGGAAAATGCCACCAAGCCTTGTCATGTTGTCTTTTAATTTTGCTGACAATGCTTTGTATTGTTTATGTGCAAGATGCCACGGTGAGGATGTACTGAATGTGGAAGTGCATCAGCCCAGAATATTTTTTCATTCTTTCATTTGCAAATATGTTTTATGTTTCAGTAGCACAGTGTAACGAAGAAGTCAGTTGGAACCCATTGGTATGAATTGTAAATCATTCTGCTCTAAAATTTTAATACAGTTAACTCTGAAAATACATTAAAAAATACAAAAAATATTATAAAGAATGTTAGAGTGCAAAACTCTGTCACTTTTTGCATTTTTTTACAATCCCTTGAAAATTTACACTTCTTAAATAAGTGCTATTGATTAAAAAGAAAGAAAAAAAGAAAGAAAGAAAAAAAAAAGCCTGTTAGCTTACGAAAGAATTGATTTTCCTCTGCCTCAGTTAAGTTTTGCAATTACCTCCACAAATAAAAGTGGAAAGACAAAGAAAGGTATTTGCACAATACTATGAGCTTTCTTAAGATCACAGACTGTAACTGTGAAATAATGGGAAGCAAATAGAATCATCAGACATTCAGATTGTCTGATGAAATCTTGAGAAATAAAACATTAAAATGCTTCCCTATGTCCTGCACTCTTTAACTCTGCTATTCTCTTAACATTATCATCTCCTTTATTTTAAACTCAGTCTCAGGTCATTTTGTGTGCATTCTATAGACTACAGATAATCATTTATCTTTCTCATTACCATCAGTCATTAGATCACAAATCTAACAGATCCAGAAGTAAAACCTTTATTGTGCCACCAGTGGCATGTACTTCTTACCTTTTCTGTTTGTTTTGCTCTGCTGTAGGTGAGACTGAAGCTTGCTTCATTTTTGCTATATCAACATCTCTGCTGCTATAGCTCTGCATTAGCTTAATGTGCTATGCTGTTGTATTACAATGTAAAAAGTCTCTTGTCTCTTCTGTCTTTGTCACTGCAAGCTGCTAATCTGAATGAAGTGGAAAAAGGTCAGTTGTCTTTTAAGCCTACTTTCCTTTCCTTTCCTTTCCTTTCCTTAAAGGTGCATGGATTTCTTACGAATGATCAGATGAATCGTATATAGATATCATTTAGAAAGCTCATTGCAAATCCTGAAATCAGTCACATGGATATAGCTGTGTATACATGTCAAAAGAATGTCATTGAAGATACAGATCACTGTGCAGGAGTACTATAATATTACTTTTTTTCAGGTGTTTTAAAGATTTGTGCACCCGTGATAAGACTGAGAAAAAGGTTTATGTTGTGATCTTCTACAATCTTTATTCTCATCCTTAATACATACCTTGTTTCCATTCTAAATATGCTGTGTTTTATAGTACTGTTTTGATGTAATTTCTTTATTAAATGATGGTACTAGAAATTATGCTGCAGTATAGAATCGTAGTCCTCTTGCTTATCATATACAAGTGACCTTTGTGCCATAAGTATCTAAAGAATCTGAAATGATCTCATCAAGCTCAGGCTGTTATGCAGGAAAGGTAACGGTGAAGGTATTTATCACATGAATTCAGTGTTTTTTGTTGGTTTTTTTTTCTTTTACTTATTACTATTCTCTATCTGACACCTATCTCTCTAACAGAGATAATACATCTCTTATACAAGCTGATCTTCTGTACAATCCACTATTTACAATCTGAAACTAACGTAATTGGAGACAATGTATTTGTAAAGTGCATATTTAGTTCTGAAAAGCAAATGAGTCAAATGAACTTGCAGTGTATTTGCTGTCAAGTAAATTTGATAAATATAATTTGCACTGTATAAAACAGTGCAGTATTTCACTAATGAAAAATATTTTCATTAACCACTAAATAGCATGTTTAACAAGGCTGCAATTATACCATCTATATTGACATCTGAAGAGTTATTCTTACAGTTTAAATTAAGAGCCTGAATTCCCTCTGCAAATGAGAGAGAAGCAGATACTTCCAGAAAGTGATTCCATTCACAATTTGGATACTTTAATTTGTATACAATTTAGAATGCCCCTGTTCTGCATTTTACAGTTA